TTTTTTTTTTTTTTCCTTTTTGTCTTTTCTTCGTGTCCGGCAACGGATCGCAACCCTCAGTGTCGCGCCCGTACTGGACCGGGACCGGCAACGGGATCGCAACCCTCGGTGTTGCGCCCGCACCTCGCTCAGCCAGTGAGCGGCCGGTCTGTATGTGGGATCCGAACCCTCGGCGGGAGCGCCGCCGCACTTCCCAAGCGGCGCACTGTAGCAGTGCGCCACCGGGCCGGCCCCAAAGATTAGTTTTGGGGTCATTTCACATGAGTGGGCTTGACCAAAATGTGCGGTCTGCGTGTGTCAGCCTGTAAGTCATGTCTGTATGTTGGTCAATTGTCAGTATGTCAAATAGCATATCTGCTTTTGTGTTCATGTCTTTTCCTGGGTGTTTTGAGTCATTTATCCACCCCAGAGCATGCTTGCATAGGTGTGTGTATCCCTGAGCAGGCTTGGGCCCCTCTGGACTGTAATCCAACCTCCATGGGTCCCTGGGATGTTAGGGTTTGGACACTTGCTTGGAGCCCAGTGGGGATGGGCAGCTTTGCTGGGGTGGGGCGGGGAAGGGTGGGTAGGGAGGGAGGAAGGAGTGTGTGCTAAGGGCCTGGCACTGCTGCTTCCCTGGGCAGGCGAGTCCCAACAGCAGGCAGACAGGTGGGGCTGACCTGACAGGTTCCAGAGGCCAGGGGCAATGGGGCGGAGCGTGGCTCTGACTTAGGGTGGCAACGGTTTGGGGGCCCTGCCACATGTGGGGCAGGCAGGCAGGAGGTGGTTCTGCTGGTGTTTTCTTCCTGCTGCAGCCAGCCCAGGGTGTAGGCATGGAGCCTGCTGGCAGGTGAGGCAGCTGGGTGGGCAGTCACGTTTGGAGACCTAGGGCCTGCAGGCCTTGGAGTTCAGGGCATGGCAGGACCCCTGCGGGGCCGGGTGGAGGAGCTGAAGCGGCCCTGGTGGCGGGAGAGCTCACCGCTGGTGCTAAGGCACAGTGAGGCGGCCCGGCTGGCGGCTGATGCCCTCCTGGAGCGGGGCGAGGCTGCCTACCTGCGGGTCATCTCTGAGGAAAGGGAGCTGCCCTTCCTGAGCGCCCTGGACGTGGACTACATGACCAGCCACGTGCGTGGGGGCCCTGAGCTTGGCGAGGCCCAGGGGCCAGAGGCCTTGGGGCCTGACCGCCTCAGCCTGCTCTCTGAAGTCACCTCAGGCACTTACTTCCCCATGGCCTCCGACGTAGATCCCCCGGATCTGGACCTGGGCTGGCCCGAGGTTCCACAGGCCACGGGCTTCAGCCCCACCCAGGCTGTGGTCCACTTCCAGAGGGACAAGGCCAGGAACATCAAGGACCTGCTGCGCTTCCTCTTCAGCCAGGCCTGCACGGTAAGAGCCACTGCTCTTCAGACATCCACTTCACAGATGTGGAAATGGGCCCAGAGGGAAAAGGACCAGCCCAAGGCCACACAGCAACTTAGGGGCAGAATTCGAACTAGAACCTCTGGTCTCTATTAGATCACAAGCTCCTAGAGGGTGGGCATGTGCTTTATTTGCCTTGGTTACCCCTTGGCACTCAAGAACATTATGGACATGCATAGAACAGGACATGGGTCTCAGGGACTCTATAGACCCCCTGCAAGTCTATGTGAAGTTGTGCATTTTGCAGGGAGGGAGGGGTCTTCATTGCATCTTTCTTGGAGATGGTCCATGGCCTTCATTAGATTCTCAGAAAGTTTTATGATCCCCAAACTAACCCTAACCTTGGAGAACATCTGCCTGCAGCCTTGACTTACAGAGCAAGAAACTGAGGCCAGAAAGGTGTTGGGACCTGACCAGGGAGGTCCAGTCCGAGAGGAGGGGTTTCTGACTCAAGTCCTGGGCTGCAGTCACAGCCCTGCTTGCTGCCCGCATCCCCAGCTGCACCTCACCCTCCTGCACTGCATCTCCAACTGGGCCTGAAGCAGGGGAGAGGCACGGGTGCATGGGCCTTGGCATGGCCTTCAGGGCTGGGCTTTTAGCTGGGCACCCAGGAGGAAGAAGGAGTGGAGGCTGCTGGGCTCAGCGATGGGGGCAGGGGCTCAGGAGAGAGAGAATTGAGAGTAGGCGGGGTGTTCAGCGCCTGCGAAGACTCCAGCCACACAGGAGCATAGCTTTACTCCTAGAGCCCTGGCCTCTCACTCAGGAGGCAGAGGAATGGATAAGATGACCCCTGGCGGGATTGGAGGTAGGGTTAGGCTCCTGCTGCAGAGATCAGGAGCCAGGATACCGGGATCTACTGGCACCTACAGAGCCTTCCTGGCCAGCCTGCCCATGCCCAAGGCAGGGGAGGGCCAGGCCCGATTGGCATCGGGAATGGGGTTATTAGTGAGGCTGTTGCTGTCGTCATCACCCTGCCTCTTTGATCTTCCCTGCCTGTCCTTGTTCCCCCAGCCCTGTGCTGTGGACTAGGGCATCCCCAGTGCCTTGCCTCCCCCACACCCCATTTACACCCTCTACGCCTGGGCCAGGACCCAAGCTCCCGCTCTGGGCTCTCACTAACTCTGAGTGACCTTGGGAAGGACTTCCTTTCCCTGAGGCCCACTGTCTCCATTTGTTAAGAAGGCAGCAGGAAAGGAGCACTTATTGAGCTTCTGTTGTGTGTTGAGCATTTTCACATTTAATCCCCCATAACTCTGAGATGTAGCTATCATTATCTTCATTTAACAGATGAGGAAGTTGAGGCTCCCAGAGGCAAAGCGACTTGCCCAAAGCCCTATGACTGGGGAATAGCAGAGTCCACATTTGAACCCAGTTCCATTTGGGCTCCAGACCCCAGAACTGGAGCGCTGTGCTCTGTACTGCCTGCCTCGGCTCTGCCTGGGAGGGGAGATTCTTACAGCAGATGCGTGCAATGGCAGGAAGGGGCAGTGGGGACTTGGAGGGCCAGGGGAGTTTTCAGGGGCCTCTCTGAAGCAGCCCTTTATATGGTGAGAGAAGCCCGGCTCTGAGCAGAAAACTTGGTTCTACTTGGCATGAATGGAAGTAAGAGAGTCTGTGAGTGTGAGGTGTCATACCTCTAGCTCCACAGGGAAACTGAGGCAGGGTTGGGAAAGGGCATTGAAGACCCCAGTAACTGGCTTGCAGCTCTGACCCTTGAGAGGGAAGCCTCAGACAGAGCCAGACTCTAGCCCTGGGCAAGAGCTAAGGCTGGAGCTAGTGGGGAGAGTGTGAGGAACTAGCCTAAGAAGCAGGGTCTGAGTTCTGCGTCTGATCCTGCAGCCCTCTGGGCCTCAGTGTAGAGTGGAGCTTTGGACTAGTGCAGTTGATCACAGACAACTTGAGACTCTGATGCCAGATAAACACTCTGTCCAGAGAAAAATGTATACTTCCAAATATCTAGGGGTTCAAGACAGTCAGATCTCCCTGTGCCTAAGTTAAGAACCCCTGGTCTAGGTCATTGCTAAAAGCCCTTCCTGATTTTCAGTCCAGTGCTCTTTTCCTGGGACCCTGGCCCCTGCCCCTTGTTAGGCTGGATGTGGGCAGTGCCCTGGGTGGGGCTAAGCTTTCCCTTCCTCTACCAGGTGGTGGCTGTCGTGATGGACATATTCACTGACATGGAGCTTCTGTGTGACCTCATGGAGGCCTCGAGCCGGCGTGGTGTCCCTGTCTACCTGCTTCTGGCCCAGGAGCACCTGAGGCACTTCCTGGAGATGTGCTACAAGATGGACCTCAATGGGGAGCACCTGCCGGTCAGTGAGGACCAGGGACAGTAACCAGGAGTGGGCTGGGGAGTCAGGGAGGGCAGAAGAGCCAGTTGGATGGCCAGTGAGCATTGGAGGTCAGTAGGAGTGGGGGACTGGGTTTCCTTAGCTGTTGGGGGTCAGAGACCCCATGGGGCATAGACATGGCTTGAGCTCCAGTTTCTCAAGGTCATCCCCCAACTTACTTCCTCCCTTGGCCCAGAACATGCGTGTGAGGAGCACATGTGGGGACACATACTGCAGCAAGGCAGGCCGCCGCTTCACCGGACAGGCCCTGGAGAAGTTCATCATTGTGGACTGTGAGCAGGTGGTGGCAGGCAGCTACAGGTGAGCAAGTGCAATGAAGGGGAGGGGGGTCTGGGGCAGTGCCACTGGCTGGCAAGTGAGCCTCGGATCTGACAGCTTTGAACGTTCCTCCTGTCATCCCTTCAAACAGATACTGAGCACCTGCCATGTGCTAGGCATTGTGCAGGGCTCAGGGGACAGCATGGGGAGCCCCTGGCATAGAAAATAACTATAGCACATTGGAACTGGAGGGACTTCAGGAAACTCACCCCTGGTCCATTTTACAGATGGGGAAGTTGAAGCCCTGAGGTGGGCAGCCATGTGTCTGAGTCCACTAAGCAGGGCTAGGACGAGCACAGATTCTGGAGTCAGAGCTTGGCTCCCCTCCCTGGGAGTCCTCCCGGTGGGGGAGTTTTGGTCCAGTTTCTGGGTATGCATCCCTGGTGACGACTCCTGCCAAGCCCCCAGGGTCCCACACTTTGCCTCCTGACCCTGACCCTCTGCCCCCAGCTTCACCTGGCTTTGCAGCCAGGCCCACACTAGCATGGTGCTGCAGCTGAGAGGCCGCATCGTGGAAGACTTTGATCGTGAGTTCCGCTGCCTGTATGCTGAGTCACGGCCTGTGGAGGGCTTCTGTGGCAGTGAGGATCCACAGTCTGCCTGGGCACCGCATCCTCCCCCAGTGGCCCTGGCCTTCAGGCCTGGCATCCCAAGCCCCACATCCTCCTCACCCTCCAGCACCAGCCTCAGCAGCATCAAGCGCTCACCTCTCATGGGCCACTCCTCCTACCTTGCTCTACCAAGAGGTGGTGGCTGCAGTGACACGGGTATGGGGTCCTCATCTCCAGGCCCTGCCCGCTTCGAGGCCAGTGGCCAGCCCTCCCTGCAACGCCAGCTGCCAGACCCTAACCATGGCTCCCCTCCTGGGCCTTACAGGGCCAACCTGAGCAAGCTGGGGGCATCCCCATGGTGCCAATCGTCCCCTGCCCTCAACCACAATAGCGCCAGCCCCTTGACCTTGGCAATGGGGTCACCTCTGCTCCCCTGCCATCACCCCCTCCTCCATTTCCCCCGGGGTGTCTCAGCTTTGCCCCGGCTCCCAGAGAATGGGCTCCCAGGAAGCCAGGAGCCCAGCCTGCCACGAGGTCACCAGGTACCTGGCACTGTCCTGGAGATGGTGGAGGAGAAGAAGGCATCTCTGCATCAGAGCCATGGCCAGCTGGACCTCCTTGTCCCCTTCGCTAGAGCCCGAGAAGCAGGAGACCCTGGATCTGGGGTTACTCCCAACTCAGGCTCCCTTCGGCCTGGTGAACAGGCCCCAGAGGACAGGAGGTTGTCCCCAAGCCGGAGTGACAGCCAGTTGGATCTCCTGCCCCAGGTCCAGAATGCTAGGCGTGCCCCTGAGTCAGGTTCCCTCAGACCTGTTGATCAGGGCCCAGAGGACAGGAGGCTGTCCCCAAACCATAGCCATGGCCAACTGGACCTCCTGGCACAGTACCCCAAGGCCCGGGGCTTCAGAGTGCCCCGTGAAGCCATCTCATCAGCCAGGCCTGGCAAACAGGGTCCAGATGAGCGACGGCAGACCCTGGGCCATAGCCAGCTGGACCTCATCACAAAGTTTGGCCCATTCCGGAGTGATGGGCCTGGGCCCAGTGGTCTCCCAGGGCCAAGCCCTGCTCACATGGCACGAGTCAGCTCTGGGGATGAGAAGCGGCTGACTCTGGGCCACAGCAAGCTGGACCTCATCACCAAGTATCATCAGTTGCAGGCTGCCAGGCAGGGACCTGAGCCTGGCCCCACAAGTTGCCATCGCAATGGTAGTAGCAACGAGCTGTTTGGGGAAGAGAAACGGCTGACCCTGGGCCACAGCAAACTGGACCTCATCACTAAGTACAACAAGTCCAAGTTCAAGCTGCTCCGAAGTCGCTTTGAGTCCTAGCCCTGCTCCCAGCAGGGACAGGTCCCTCCTCCATCCACTGAGACTCTGGACTTGCTCAGGTCCCAGACTCTGGGGAGGGAGTTGCCTAGAAGCCAAGGTCAGATACGCTCAAGATTCTTGTTCACACACACACACACACACACACACACAGCCCCCCACCCCCCCCATGGGACCCACAGTTACTGAGCACTTAGTGCATGCCACTGTGCTGGGCACTTTGCACCAGTTACTTCCTCCCATCCCTCATCCTCACACAATCCTACAAGATGAACCTCTTGTAGGTGTATAACTGTGGGATAATAGGAATTACTTCCCACTCCCTTTTTATAAATGTGGAAGCTGAGGCCCCGAGAGTGTGGATGACTTACTTGGAGTCAAGTAAATGGCAGAACAGAGTATCAGACCTGTGTCTTTCTGGCTCTAAAGATTGTGTTTTTTTGCACAGACGTGACACAATATCTACATCTTATGTGTCCCCATGCACACAAAATACGTGTATTACAGAGATGCCCCAAATGCCCATACAATATACAGAGCACAGTGACAGGGTACATACCCACAAACTGCACACCCATAGACACACACAATAAGTACAGGGGTACTTCAAAAAGTTAATAGAAAGATTCGTGTTATCTTTTTGTTTGTTTGGCGGCTGGCTGGTTTGGGGATCTGAGCTCTTGACCTTGGGGTTATCAACAATGTGCTCTAACCAACAGAGCTAACTGGCCAGACCCATATTTTCCTTCAATTCTATTTTTCCATGAACTTTTTGAAGTACCATCGTATACATAGGTCCATGTGATAAACCAAAACACTCGGAATTTTAGTTGTAGGTACTCAATAAATGTCATTTGGCTAAATAAATGGCTATATAAAATACATGGATTCAGTGCACACCATAGACCCCCTCGGCTCCACAAACCATAAATATGCACATAACCCAAAACACGTGCACATGTATGCACACACACCCCCAACCAGTATCTTCTTGAACCTAAGCGGTGTGTGTTCCCAGCCCTGCGCTGGGCTTACCACAGGGCTGACAAGTGAGCCAGACTCAGACCCTGGGGACAAGGATTAAATGCATAAGCCATTGGAGAACAAGACAGAGCTGTATCAAGTTAAAGGCTAACCAGTGACAGAGGGTAACAGAAAACAAAGGGCAGAGAGTGGTGGAGACAGTAGGGTGGTCAGGAAAGTTTCTTAGAGGAGGTAGCCTTTGAGGCAGGCCTTGAAGGATGGGGAGGTTTTAGACAGATGGAAGACAGAGTTAAAGAAATTCCTGGTGGAGGGAACCAGGTGAAGAGACACACAAGAGAGGACTGAGTGAGTGTGTCTCAGGTGAACTGGGGAGGACGAATAGAGCATGTGGACACCCAGGTGCATGCACACACATCATCTTGCTGAGTGTCTCTTGAAGCACAGGCTGTGACAGGTGTGGGCCTTCTTCCTGAGCTCACCACCTGCCTGGGACAGTTTATGTGATACAAATCAATAAAGGCAGACATGGCTATGACCCAGAAGCAGCGTGGTGTATCCTGTAGAATGTGGAGTTATGGAACTGCTCGGTGGGGACAGGGGAAGAGCAACATTCAGGCCAATTATGGAGCGCCCCCTGGAGGAGGCAATGGCCAAAGGACTGCTTAGGGGAGACCAGGACTCAAAGTCCCCTCTACTTTCACTGTGACATTCTGAGAGACCCTGGGGCTTTTGTAGATTCCAAATGTGGGCCAAATTCATCCTGTCCATGAGAGCAGGACCTTTGGCCGACACCATTATCTGGGGGTCAGAAGTTGGCTGCTGAGTGATAGAGCACGTGCGAGAAGCACATCGTGGAAGCCAGTCAGCCCGCCCCGAACCCCTTTTCCTCCAATCTCTCCCTAGGACTCTGCGTCATCCATCAGCCTGGTTTCCACTACTTCTCTGGCCGTGCTTCCTTCTCCATCCTCTTTGTACTGGTCTCACTTCTCCCTCCTGGACACCCCCTCCCTGGGTGACCTCATCCACCCCAGGCTTCAGCCCCAAATCTCATTCTTCTGCCCTTCACTCCCCCTCCCTCTGGGCTTTAGATCCGGACTTCCGTCCCGCTTGGCAGAGCTGGACTCATCACCTTCCCCGAACCTGCCCTTCGTCCTCCGGCTTCATTTCAGTAAATACCTCCATTATCAACCCATCTTCTGCGAGACACCCCTGGCTCCTCCTCTCCCTCACGCTTCACATCCGACCAGCCGCAGGTCTAGGTCGACAGTAACGTCTATAAAGCTCCCGAATGAATAATGAATGAATAAATGCAAGCGAGCTGGGGGCGGGGCGGGGCGGGGCGGGGCGGGGTCGCGCCTTCACCTTTTGAGACCATAGAGTCTCCAGGGCTGGAGCTAGAGGGGCTGTATGCGTGGCTGGGCGCGCCGCGCTCTCCCGGAAGTCTTCCTGGTCCGAGGCGGAAACGGAAACATATTGAGGGAGGCGAAGGGGCTGGTGTCGCGTGTGGTGGTTGCGTTTACTTGGTGAGCTGGTGTAAGGGGATCCCAGAAGGGTCAGTTCTGGGTCCCGGGTCGGGAGGGGTGGGGGCCGGAGGATTCAGGGCCGGAGAAGCCAGGAGGGGCCCGTGGGAGGGACTCGAGTGCCGAAGGCCTGAGGGGGGCGGGGTCGCGGCGGGGCCTGAAGGCCGAGGCCGGGAGGGAGACCCGAGACCGGGAGAGGATCCGCCGGCCCTGAACTCCCGGTCCCGCGGCCCCCAGGCCTCATGGCGGTCCGAGCGTCGTTCGAGAACAACTGTGAGATCGGCTGCTTTGCCAAACTCACCAACACCTACTGCCTGGTGGCCATTGGAGGATCAGAGAACTTCTACAGGTGCGGTGGGAGCCCCGGGGCTTGCGGTGGCGGGGAGGAGTGCCTAGAGTCGGAGCTCCGGCAGAGTTCGGACACCGACCCCTTAGCCTCGTGCCCACCGAGTCCATGTCTCTACAGTGTGTTCGAGGGCGAGCTCGCCGATACCATCCCCGTGGTGCACGCGTCCATCGCCGGCTGCCGCATCATCGGGCGCATGTGTGTGGGTAAGGCAGATGAGGGACGCCAGGGGAGGGAGTAGAGCCTTCAAACCCCATTAGTCATACTCCTGGAGGGGATCTGGACTGACTTAGGAATTTCCAGGCTTTCATCCATTATCTTTGGGGACTACAAAATCTTTCAGGGTTGGGTAGAATCCAGTCTGAGTGTCAGCTGACCAGGGGCAACCTCTGGCAAAGGCTTCTGGATAATAGTAATAACAAAAAAATATTAAGTGCTTTCACTTTGTTCTCATTCCTTCTTCACAAAGACACTGGAAGGTAGGAATCACTGGCCTAATTTTACTGATGAGGAAGCTGAGTGTCAGAGAGCCTAAGTGACTCACCAGGTTCCACACCTAGCTTGGAGAAGGATTTGAATCTCTCCTGCAACTGACTGTGGGGAAGTTGCTTCCTCTTTCTGAGCATCCATTTTTGCCTCTGTAAAACGACTAGCCAAGATTCCGGATCATCCTGTTTAGTTACCTTTAAATCTTAAATTCCCTTTCCACGTCTCTGAGTGACATCCCTCAGGTAGGTGGGAACTACCTCGCAGCACTGTTGACTCTGGCCATTGGTCCTTTCTTTAAGCTGGGTCTCTCTTCTGTTACTGCCGCCTCTTGTTTCTTAGTTCTGTCTCTTGGGGTCATATAGGAGTCTGTTCCTTTACTTAAAATTTTTGTTCTTTTTTACTTTTAAGCCTGGTTACCTCTAAGTATTTTATTATTCAGGTGCCCTTAGGACTTGAAGCAAGTTCTGATGTAACAAGAGAGAATTTATCCTGGGTCTTAGTGTATTTTATGATGGAAGCAACTCAGTTCAGAAATTCAGAGTTGTGGCATTGCAAGAATAGGCAGAGGTCGGGCTGGCCCCATGGCTCACTCGGGAGAGTGTGGTGCTGGGAGCACCGACGCCGCGGGTTCGGATCCTATATAGGGATGGCTGGTGTGCTCACTGGCTGAGCGTGGTGCAGACCTCACCGCGCAGAGGGTTGCGATCCCCTTACCGGTCAGGAAAAAAAAAGAATAGGCAGAGGTCGGGCTGGCCCCATGGCTCACTCGGGAGAGTGTGGTGCTGGGAGCACCGACGCCGCGGGTTCGGATCCTATATAGGGATGGCTGGTGTGCTCACTGGCTGAGCGTGGTGCAGACCTCACCGCGCAGAGGGTTGCGATCCCCTTACCGGTCAGGAAAAAAAAAGAATAGGCAGAGGTTTAGCCATAGTTGACACAACATAATTGTAGTTTATTTATTATTGTTGCCGTATGGTGCGTTTTGTGTAAGTGTACCACAATGTATTCATCCATTCTATTGACAGTGTGAGTTTGGGTAGTTTTCACTTTGGTCTATTAGGAGTAGTGACACTGTATTTTTTAGTAAACTTGTGTGTAACTCTATTGGTTATATAATACCTACGAGGGAATGGCAGAACCACAGCTTATGTGACTATTCATTGTAGTAGGTGATGCCACATAGTTATCTGAAGTGGTTGACCAATTTACACTCCTATCAGAGTATACGAGTTTCAGTTGCTCCATATATCTTTGCCAACATCTGGTATTAATAGTCTTTTAAAAATTTTAGCCATTCTGCTAGGTGTGTAGTGTTAGCTAATTTTTTGGTAGCAAAATGTACAACTAATGCCAAGAGCCCTTCCTGGTAATTCTGCTCCCCCAAATAGATGATGGTGAAGCAGGCAAGATTTGTTGGGACATACTCTTGGGCCTTCTCTGGCTTGCCCAGTGTGAGTCCTGGCCCCTTGGGAGTTGTATGGATCAGTGGGTTGGAGGGCTGGGGTCTGGGCCTAAGGGTTTCCTGGGAATGCCAATTAGGTTGGGCTGGGATGTATCCTCAGCCTCCAGGGCTCAGCAAGCATCTTATGTATTCATGGCCTATTTTTGCCCAACCCTCCAATTTGGGTCTCTCTAGGGAACAGGCATGGCCTCTTGGTGCCCAACAACACCACCGACCAGGAGCTGCAACACATTCGCAACTGCCTCCCAGATTCAGTGCAGATCCGGCGGGTGGAGGAGCGGCTATCAGCCCTGGGCAACGTCACCACCTGCAATGACTATGTGGCCTTGGTCCATCCGGACCTGGACAGGGTGAGGCAGCCCACCTTGGCCTGGAGTCACAGGATCATCTTAGTCAGTGGTTAGCCACTGTTCTTGCCTAACAGGCAGAAATTAGGGGTATCTCTTATGGTTTCTTTTATATCTGGGCTTTTGAATTTCAGGCACTCTTGGAACAGTGATAAAAGAGGCCTTCCATGGTGTTGGTCAGTGTCAGAAAGAAGCTAGAGAGGGTATTAGTCCTTCAGGATTGGGGAGAATTTACCTGTCCAGTCCCATAGCCTGGGCCAGGGTAGAAGATTGACAGTTGATCTTGAGTATGGATGAGAGGGAAAAGGGTGAAAAGGAGTCCAACATCTGGCTATTCAGGGCATGTCTGAATATTAGGGGCTCCAGAGCTGGCCTAGATTCTGCTTTAAGCTGTACCCCCTCCTTTCTCTGGATGAGGCTTCCATATGTGGCTACATAGGAGAGAAATGGGGGGCTCAGGGAGCCAAGCCCGGTGTGGTTCTGGGCATGGATAGCCCCTGATTCTTTGGTCTGCAAGTTCTGGGCCCAGAGCACAGTACCTTTGGCTGACAGGAGACAGAAGAAATCTTGGCTGACGTGCTCAAGGTGGAAGTCTTCAGACAGACAGTGGCTGACCAGGTGCTAGTAGGAAGCTACTGTGTCTTCAGCAATCAGGGAGGGCTGGTGCATCCCAAGACTTCAATTGAAGACCAAGATGAGCTGTCCTCTCTTCTTCAGGTCCCCCTTGTGGTAAGCATTGTTGTCTTCTGATGTCTGTCTCCTGCTGAGGCAGATCTCCTTGCCCAGTGCTTGGGAGTGGGCTGCAGGTCAGGGAGTAGGGTTTGGGGAGAGTCCTCATCGTGGAGGGGAGAGACTTTGGATGTTGATGCCATGACCCACACTGGGCTCATCCCTTGGCAGGCGGGCACTGTGAACCGAGGCAGTGAAGTGATTGCTGCTGGGATGGTGGTGAATGACTGGTGTGCCTTCTGTGGCCTGGACACAACTAGCACAGAGCTGTCAGTGGTGGAGAGTGTCTTCAAGCTGAATGAAGCACAGCCTAGCACCATTGCCACCAGCATGCGGGATTCCCTCATTGACAGGTATCTGGGGCCTCTCTTCTCTTCTGCCCAGGGCAGGGGGCTCACTTTGCCTTTTGAGGGTAGGGGAAGAAGATGCCACCTATAATGGGTGAGTCAGGCAGAATTGCCTAGTCACCAGCACTGGTCAACATTGTTTTTGTGGCCTTAGCTTATGCAGTTAGGTAAGATAAAGAAATGGGTTGGGTATTGGAAAAAGAGAAAACTCACTAGCCTCCTTGGGTTTTTGGACACACTGAGTTTGACGTTCCCATGAGACCTCACAATGAAGTTGTCAGGTAGGCAGTTAGAAATAGGTAGTTTAGTTTGATAATCAGGCACATGATTATCACCTCCAGGAAGAATGTTTTTACTTAATCCTTACTGAGCAGATCTGTTTATCAGCCTGGTATTGTGGCCTTTCGTGTTTAGAAGAGAGAGTTGTGGAGAAGGAGGCCAAAGTTCTGGTCCCAGCCCTGCCACTGGGGGACTTGTGGTCTGGGCATGTCCCTTTCCCTTGCTGAGCCCCCTTGTTCCCTTCTGTAATGTTTGATGGACTTGCCCTCTGAGGCTGTGGTTTATGATCATTAACAGTTTGAATAAATTGTTTAGGGGCTGGCCAGTTACCAAGGTCAAGGATTTGGATCCCTGAACTAACCTGTTGGGAAAAAAAAGAAAAAAAAAATTGTTTAGCCAGTTGACCCACCTGAGTAGGAAAAGTTACTTTAGTCTTTAAGCATCGAGAGTTCTAGACTGGACTGTGACTTGTGGGATGCAGTCAAATCTGGAACCACGGTGGGGCCAGGGACCTCTGAGTGTGGCCCTTCAGAGCTGAGCTAGAACAGAGGTGCAGGGGGGAGGATGGGGGCCAGCACTCTGAGAATGGAGGATGAGGTGTGCTCTACGAAACAGCTACTGACAATGCTCCTTCTCTTTTCAGCCTCACCTGAGTCACCTTCCATGCTGTTCCGTGGGCTCCTAGTTCTGGACTTTGGCTCCTTCTGCACACCCCACCCAGTCTACTGGCTGCTGGCAGGAAGGTGGTAGAGAGCTCACGGACCAAGGGGCTGGGTGCCTAGCCCTTCTTTACCTGTGCCCACCTCCTGAATCTATTGTTACTGCAGAACCTCCATGCTGTGCTGTCAGTCCCTGGCTGAGGGTCCTGCCACACCATTAAAGGGCAGCTGTGTCTGGCCACTCTAAATGTGGTGTTCAAGGGCCTCAGTCTGTGCTCAAGCCCTCTCCCCCTCAATTGTGCCAGGTCCTGGGAAGATTGGGTGTGTATGGATACCCCCCCCATGCGCCCACACCACCCACCAACCATCTCCATCATCATCAGGATGGGAGGCTTCATCTGGGGCAAGAAGTACAGCACTCTCCACAGCTCTCACATTTTCCACCTATCTTCTGCCTCCTCTGTGGCCTTCAAAGGATGAAACTGTTCCAGCTCTACCCTGGGCCGGGGGTGGGGAACCCTGTAAAAGCTCTGGGACACCAGGCTTAAGAGCAGTCTTGGCCCTTCTGACCTAAGGGGGATGGAGGTTGCTGGGCTAGCTGCGGCCCTTCCCGGGGTGGGCGCGGAAGTGCGGCGGGGTAGCGCCGTCAGTCCCCAGGCTGGGCGTGGGGCGGGGCGTCGGCGTGGGGGCGGGGTTGGGCTGCAGCATTCCATTGGGCTCCATTCCGGTGCCAAATCCCTCGTTTCCGCTCTGGCGTCAGAAGGCGAGGTCACTGCGCGGTGGCGTCACGGGGCGGCTCCTCCCGGCGCCTGCGATGGGACCTAGGAGATCTGTCGCCCAGGCTGTGTGAGGTGAGGGCGGGGCGGGGTCACGGGCCCGGGGCTTTGTACCGCTGACCCCAGACCTGAAGGGCTTCTCCCCCGCAGACCATGGGGGCTCAGCTGAGCGGTGGCCAGGGCGCCCTGGAGCCGGCGCAGCCCCAGCCTGCAGCACCGGCACCGGAGAGTCCGGAGCAACCCCAACCCCGGCCCGAGCCCGAGCCTAGCCCGTGGGGGCCGCTGGACGACGTGCGCTTCCTCATCGCTTGCACCTCCTGGTACTGACTCGGCCACCGCCGGAGGATCCCGCCGGCCCATGGCGTTCTTGTCCGCTTCGGCCCGGCCGAGAACCCAGGTCCTTGTCTCCGCTCCTCTCATCCCCCCCACCCGCGCATCCCCGGCGTCCTGCAGACTGCAGAGAATGGGAGGAGGTCAACCCTGTCACCTCCCCATGGGGCACCGAGTCGGCCCCAACTTGCACCCAAACCCAGCTCACACCTTCATGCTCACCCACATCCCCTTCTCCAGCTGTCTGGGTCAACCCCAACCTTTCACTGGCTTCCAGAGCCAGGCCAGGCCTCCTGGCAAGACCCCAAGGCTGCTGAGCTCCTGATCTTGTCTGTCCTTATTGCTGAGAACCGAGCTCTTGTCTTTGTCCCAGTTCGTGGCACCATGTGTCTTGACTTCAGAGAAGTCCTTGCCACAGGGACCCTCCCCATACTTCTGAGGGGGGTTTCTCCCTCATCCTGGATCCCAACGAGGCATCATCAGGCTGTATTCCAGGGACCCCAGTAACATTGGACCTCCAAGGCCAGTCTTTTGGAGAGAGAGGACGTCTGATTGCTGGTCTGGTATATGAGATGTTTTGGGCAGCTCCCAGACACCCCAAAGCTTCTTAAGGCCACTGTTAGAACCTGATCTTTGTTCCCATATTCCAGGAAAACGACAAACTATGTATTTCTGTTTTATTTAGAAATGATTTAAAAAACATTATACAAAGGCTGATCAGTTTAAAATGTGACTGACACTGAAATGTTGTGGTATCCTCCAGGCTGAGGGGAAGCTGGGCTCTGGGACCCCCAGTGCTTTGCCCCTCTGTCTGCCCTGTCCTGGGGTGATGGACACACAGATGACCACAGGCAGGAGAATCTGAGATTGGAAGCCTCTAGGCTGAGCCTTCTGGGCCCGGCCCCGCATCCCTCACATCTGCAGCCTGGGCTGCCTGCCTTCATCTCCTGCTTTCTCAGCTGGCCTAGGTAGTACCAGGAGCCAACAGGGAGCCTGGGGGGCGCGGGGCCTAGAGCTTTCAAGAAGTGAGAGCACCAACCTGAGGAGTGGGGAGTCATCTCCTGCTTTCTCAGCTGGCCTAGGTAGTACCAGGAGCCAACAGGGAGCCTGGGGGGCACGGGGCCTAGAGCTTTCAAGAAGTGAGAGCACCAACCTGAGGAGTGGGGAGGAAGGGAGAAGGGAGGCCAGGAAAAGATGGATAGAGGAGACACTTCTCATCTCAGACCCTAGAGGAGCCCACAGATGAGACACAGGGCCCAGCCAGCCCACTGGATGGCCTGGGCAAGTAACAGAACCTCTCTGTGCTTCCTATGAGGGCACGGTGAGAATGATCCTTAGCCTCCCAGGGCCTGCAAGAGTTTCATGTGAGTGGACAGGTGTGAGCTAATAAAGTGCTTTGCAAAGTATAAAACACTGTACAAACCTATGAATCACTAATATCTCTGCAGTTGTTCCCTGCCTGCCCCAGGGAGCCTGCCCTTGGCCAAAATGAGAAAAAACAGGATGATGATGACAGGGGACACAGTGGGCCCACATAGGTGCCTCTGGGACAAGAGGTTTTGCCCAGGACAGCTCCCAGGGCAGCAGGAGTCCCTGTCTGTGCTACAGGGTAAGCCGACCCAAAGCCCAGAGGCCACAGGGTGGGAACAAGGCCCATGTAGGCGCAAAGGGCAGGGGTGGCATCTGAGACCCTGCCAGCACCCTGAAGAGTGGCTGACACCTCTTTTTGGCTTTGGCAGAGAGCCAGTGGGCATCACTGAACCCACTGGTCTTGCCTGGGGCTCCTCAGTGACAAGCAGGGCTGCTGCTGCTGGACTGCAGCAAGGCAAGCTGAGCCCTAGGAACTCTTGCCAGAGACGGAGAAGGGTAGGCTCGACAAGGTCAAAAAGGGAGACCTCTAGGCTTGAGGCTGCTACCAGTTGGGGATGCCCTTGTCCAAAGAGCAATGTGGGAAGATGGTTCCGGGCTGAGAGACTGAGTCAGTCTCAGGAGTATGGGCACTGAGCACTTCCAAAGTCTGCCCTGGGCCCCCCACTCTGAGGCCATGACAGTTGTCCCTGGTGCCATCTCTGCTTCACCTAACTAGTCAGGCTGAGCCCCCAGGCCACAAGTGACAGGCTGGAGCAGGGCTGGGAGTGGGGAGAGGGGTGCGTGAAGGATGGTCACAAAGTTGAATCCACCTCCAGAAATGGGGTCAGCTTCTGCCCCAGCTCTTTAGCCTCCTGAGCAGGGCCCAAGTCCTGGGGTGTCAGGGAGCTAGAGCGGCCTTAGCAGCACCTTGGTCCTTATCGCCTGGGGGTGAGCCACCATGTGGGCCTCATTGCCAAGACAGTCACCTCTAGTTCATCTAAAGCCTCAAGCAGCCTTTGCAAAATGGGACTTTAAACAGTAGTGACAGGACATTTAAATATTCACGATGTGACAGCTGGGTCCTTGTGAGACCCAGCTGGGCTACAGTCCTGCCTGCAGCATGTGACCCTAATCCTGGGTCTCGGAGGAGACACTGACAAGAGAAGCAGGTTTCCTGAGGGATCTGCTGTGCTAGCAGAGGAAACCCAGGCTTGTTGCCCACTGTGTCGGCAGTAGGGGTTCTGTAGCCTTGGAGGACAGTGGGGTTGGGGTGGGGGGACATCTGACCAGCAGGTGTTGGCAAAAGGGGACTGGGACTTGTGGCATCTCCCAGATGGATGAGAGCTAGTGCTGGCTTCCCACAGAGGGTGCTGGGTCCCAGCCAGGAATGGAGCTGTGGTGTCTCATGGACACCACAGGATGCAGTGACCACAGGTGCTCCTCCTGGCATGGTCCCTGCCTCCTGATGGGGTCTGGCCTACTCCCTTGAGTAGAGAGTAGTTTATCCAGGACAGAAGGCTGGCAGCTGTGTGCCAGACACCCACCCTGGGGCACAGCCCCCATCACTCCCTGCCCCACGCTGAGCCCAGGCCAATGCACCTACCACTTCAGCTGTACGACCCTGGCCTAGGGCCCTGCTGGCCCCGGTGGGCAGTGGCCAGAGCTGCCCCTCAGACCCTGGTGAGGAAGGGCCTGGCTGGCCAGACCGAGTGGACAGAAAGGGCTCTGGGCTGCTCACACCCACTCCTGGACTGGCCGCTTATAGTAGGTGACAGGCTGAGGACCTGCCTTGTTCTTGAACTGGAAGATGGTGTAGACCAGCACCAGGATGCAGAGGGACAGGATGCAGGGGATGACCACGGCCACGGCATTCACGGAGCCCGGCACGTCGTTGATGGTCACCATGATGTCCACATCATCCTGGGGCAGCCGCCTCTCCTTGCGCCGCTCCACCTCCTTCTGGTGGCAGCCCATCCAGTCACGCAGGATGCTGCGTGGGTAGCCTGGCTCCACGCTCAGTTTCTGGTTGTCAAACTTCCAGTAGTCCCGGCCTTTATAGAAGTAGGTGTAATCTGCAGAAATGTGGCCCAGCATCATCACTCCCAGACACTTCCAGGCATCTGCCCTGTACCAGTGTGGGAGGGCACAGCGTGCTGGGTTGCCCTGAGGAGGGGAATCTGTGGGAGGGGCGGAGGAAGCAGCCTGCTGGGTGCTGGCAGCGGGGAGTGCAGTGCTGGCCTGGATCATGGAGTACGACACATGTGTGGGAGGGCACAGCGTGCTGGGTTGCCCTGAGGAGGGGAATCTGTGGGAGGGGCGGAGGGAGCAGCCTGCTGGGTGCTGGCAGCGGGGAGTGCAGTGCTGGCCTGGATCATGGAGTACGACACACGACACACACAGCCAGGAAACAAAGCAGTTGCAGAGAGGGGCACCTAGGTTCTGGAGCAGCCTGCCTGTCATCTCAAAGGTGCTGGGAAACCACTGAGGATCTCTAAGTAGAATCAGGACAGGACCCTTCTCAGCTTGGGGTCACAGTTCTTTCACACTGTGCCCACAGGCCCCTCACGTGGGTCAGATCAAGCCCCCAACCTAAGGCTTGGACAACACCGTCTCCATAGCTCAGTCTAGGTCCTGCCTGAGCCAAGGGAGGCAGGGAAGTAAGATTCCCTTCTGTTGACAGCAGATGCTACCTTTCTGCAATTATCATGTTTTTTTTGTTTTGTTTTGTTTTGTTTCGTTTTTGGCTGCTGGCCAGTAACGGATCAAACCCTTGACCTTGGTGTTATCAACACCATGCTCTCATCTACTGAGCTAACCGGCCAGCCCCTATCATGGACTTCTTTTGGCTTGGCATACATTACTTTGCAACACAGATGTAGGGTCTTTGGGACCCTTCTGCAGGAGGAGCTGGGCAGCCACCCAAGGCTCCCAGCAACAGCCTTAGGGCCCAGCCAGTCTGCAGACGGCAAAGCAACTCACTCAGATGCTCCTCATTGGCCAGCTCCCACCCAGGCTGGGACTTCCATTGGTCAAGGTCCTTGATGTCACCTGTCTCTGAGGCTCCCCCAAAAGGGAGACTATGTGTGTAAAGCATCAGGTGCACAAGAGAGCCAACAAAGAGCAGCTCTGCCCCCGTGGCCATTGGCTTTCTTACCAGTGACAACTTGGAGAGCCCCTCCCAACGACCTCTCTCACCACATTTATTTCCCTTATGGCATCGGTTGCCACCTCATTTGTTTCCTGCCACTAGATTGGGAGCTCTGCAGGTCTTGTTCCCTGCTGCCTTCCCAGCCCCACCACACAAGCTGCTCTCAGCAATTTTTGTGGAGCGAATGAGTGAAGCCTGTTATTCCTCATGAGCTGCAACGTACCCACAGGTGATTATGACAGTGATGGCAGTAGTAGCTAAAACGTATATGGCATGGATCCTGTGCCAGGCATTATTCTAAGTGCTCTTTATAACTTATTTAATCCTCACAAAGCCATTATGTAACGCTAGGTGCCGTTATCATCACCATTTTATAGATGGAAAACTTATTAGTGATTTGCCCAAACTCCTAGTAAGTGGTGCAGGTGGTATGTGAACCCAGCCAGCCTGGCTCCAGAGTTCATGCGTTTGATCAGGTCAATGGGGAGGTGTTTAAAAAACACTCATGGACACCCACTGTGCACCTGGCAAGACTGCCCCCCTCCTGAGAAGCTCCTAGTCTGGAGGGGACGGACTGTGCCCTGATGGCAGCCAGGGTGGCCTGCAGAAGGAGCTTAGGAAATGTCTCATGAATAAGATAAGTGGCTCTCTCCATTTTCCTGCCCTCAGGCCCTGTGAAAAATTACCTTTGAACCACTTATATCCAACATTGCTTTTCAGACCTGATAACTCCTAGAGTGCACCTGGGGAGGGCTGCTTGAGAAATGCTGTTTGAAGGAGCAAAGTGAGACTATGAAAACATCTCTCAATTGTGAATCAGTCCTGTGGATGAAATATTGTGACTTGGTAGCTGGCAAGTGAACCCGGGTAGATGTGAGGTAGTTGTCTGCCACCAGGTGGTGTTTCTGGATACCTGCGAGTGTGCCGGGGCCCTGATGAGAACCACATAAAATCAACCTCCGCCCCTCTCCCTGCCCCCAGCCTGGCCTTACGTACATCCTTCCTTGCTGATGAAGGCCCCCTGGGGAGCCTGTGGGATGCCCTTCCACACGGTGATGGGCTTGGGGTAGCCGGGGTCTGTGGCCCGCCGCTCCTCGCTGTAGCGCCAGTACCGCTCGCCTTTGAAGAAGTAGGTCTTGCCCACAGGTTCCCAGCGCAGAGCCGTGTCAATGCCTTCACGAGGCAGGCAGCTGCCCAGCTCCCCTAGGCTGTGGGGGTACCCAGGCTCCACTGTCACCTCCTTAAACACCCAGTACTTGTCACCTGTGGCAAGAGGAGCCCAGGATCAGCTTTTTTTAGTTGCTCAGTGCCCAAGGTTGTGACTGGTGCCACTTGCCCATCTTCATTCACAGAGCCAGAGTGTCAACCTTCGGCCTGCTTGATCCCCTTGGCCCAGGCAGAGCTTGGGGGTAGGAAGCCAGAAGCCAGTCACAGGTCCTGGGCAGCTTGCCACCTGCTGCCCGGGCTCCATGCCACACCTCTTGTGTCCATGTGCCTTGCTCCTCTTTTCTCTCTGGCGATCTTGGCCACTCCCATGACTTCACACACACTAGTGCTCCCTGCACCTGCCACTGGTGACACCCAGCTCTGCGGCTACAGCCCACAGCCACTCTCCCATTGGACCTGAGCACCAGACCCCGACATCCCCGTCTCCCGTGGCCACCAGCAGCTCTGAGTCGGTTTCCCAGAGTTTGCCATCTGCACCACAGAGGGGATCTGTCCTCCTCAACTTTCTGCCTCCCAGGTCCCCCAACAAGAAGTCCCAGCATCATCTTTGCCCTGCCCCCTCAGTATTCAGCCATTTGTGAAGGCTTTTGAATCTTCTTGCAGCTGTCCCCTGCCCTCTAGATGCACTGCTCCTCCCTGGTCTGGGCTCATGGACGGCACTGTCCTCAACTCCAGCAACCGCCTCAGAAATGGCCACCCTGTCTCTGCCCTGTTGCCACCTGCCCCCGGCTCTCTGATGCTCAGAAACATTCAGTATGTTTCCAGTGTTGGCCTAATAGATCAAGAACAACATTCTGGCCTGGCAACCTAAGCCCTTCAGGATTTGCCCCGAAACGACCTTTCCAGGCCACTTGTCATAGCTCTCTAAGGTGGGGCCTCCTGGCTGTCAGGTTAATCTTCTAAGCCTTTTGAGCAACCACGTGCGTTCCACCACTACTCCTTTACCATGCTCTCCTGTCCCTCTGGAACACTCTCCTCGCTTCTCACTATTTGTATCTCACCCATCTTGGGCCTGGCCAAGTCAAGACAATTGGTGGGAAACAACCTAGCACTGTGCTGTGCTCAGGGTGTGCACATTAGCTCCCTCTCCCCATCCCTTCCCTGACCTCTCCAGCCTGTGTGACCTCTTCCCTGTGAGCTGTCATGGAACTGACAGGGTGGCCTTCCATGGAGTACTGGGTGGCCTTCCACCCTCTACTTCATGTGGGTGAGCTTGCTACTCCACCAATCTTGGCACATACAGACACTCAACAATCACTTCCTGACTTGATTTCCTCAGATTGTGCATCACCTGCTTGCAGGGGTCTGTCCTGTCAGAGGTCAGTGTCTGTTAGTGCTAGAAGGGCCCTCAGAGGACATCTGTCTCCTACCCTGCTTCTTCCAGTTTAGATGGAAAAAGAAGGTCCCAAGAAGGGCAAGGAACTGTCCCAGGTTCCACAGCACAGGTGACATTACCTTTGAAGAAGACAAATCTTCCATCCGCCCTTTCATAGGCTGCGTCTATGCGGGCAGGCAGGCCCTTCCAGAACTGCTCGATCTGCATGGGGTAGCCCTCCTGCACCCGGTTATTGCGTAGGCGCCAGAACCAGCGATCCTGGTAGAGAGCCGGGGAGAAAGAGGCATGTCAGGCCCCACCTCTGAACCCAGTGATTTCAGCTCTGGGGCTCAGGCTCTAGCGACCCAACACCTTCCCCTGGGCCCAGCCTTGCAACCCTCCATGGAGACTGTCCATTTGCTGCTTCTAACTCTCCAAGCCCTGTGAGGAAGACAGGGCGCTCATGTAACTCTGTTCATTGAAGCCTCCTGATGGCTCTTGCTGCCCAGGGACGGTGAGACAGACAGCAGACAGTCCTGGTGTGGGGCAGGAGCTGGAAAGGATGATGTGGGGGCCTGGAGTGGCCACATGATGGCAACAGAGAGTCACCGACCTCAGCCGGGTCAGTCCTCAGGCTGGTGGAAGTGCAGGTGGCCACTGAGCCTCGGCAGAGAGCCCTCCCGGGGGCAGGCTCCATCCAGGGGGGCAAGGACCATGGGAAGAAAGCCGTGGGAATCCTCCAAGACCTGAGCATGAATTCAGGTTCCTCCACTCACAGCTGCGTGACCTATGGCCTTGTCTGCAAATGTGGGAAATAATAGAGTTCCTAGAACAGTATGGGGCACATAGTAGCCCTCTCTTCTAACTGGTGCCTTGTGCCACCGCAGCCCTTGATGGCAAGCTGTTCTGGACAAGGCCTAGAGTCTCCCAGGACCTCAGTTTTCTTATGTGTAAATGGGGATGATAAAAGCCAGACTTGACTGTGAACAGTTCAGTTGGGAAGATCTAAGAAAAATGAGTACAGAGGAAGAAACGTGATTCATAAAAGAAGGTACAAAAGCTTTTTTTAAAAAGGTGTCTTACAAAGCACTTTTGCATCCAGTTTTTTAACCTTATTTTGACTTTCATGACTCTGTTAAGTCAATGTGAGATATACAGAGTCTTCAGAAAGGCTAAGTGACTTGCTTAGAGCCACTCTGAATCCACGATGGGGCCGACCCACGTCTCCCGATTCTTGATCAGTGCTCTAGGCTTGCTGGGGACGAGGGGATGGGGTAGCCTTCCTCGATCACCCAGTGTGACGGAGACACGCTGCCCAGACCCCTCAGTGAAGGGCTTGTCAGCCCCTTTGGGGATGGTCTCAGCTTCAGAAAGCTTCCTTCAAGATCAAGCCCTTCCTCATCCAATGACTGAATGAGGCAGGGGTGTAAAGTTCCAGCCATTTTGGGCCCAATGTGGGCTGACTCTGAGGGGCCATAGCAGCTTCAGAGCTCCCCGTGGGGGTGGCTGAGTCTGCAATGGGCCTCCGTTACCGCTTAACTTCTCCCTCTGCCCTGTCCTGCTTCCTTCTCCTCCTTCCCACAGATGTCCATCCCAAAGGTACTCTCTTACCAAAATCCTGCATCCCGCACACCAGCTCAGAATCTGCCCCCTGAGAACCCAACCTGCATGCAACACACCGAACAGGCTGCCACCCAGTCGGCCCCTGGCTAAAGTGACAGGCACAGGACAGAAGACAAGAGGTAGCTTGGTCAATAGCAGCTGCTGAGGCCCTGGTAGGATCTGGTGTCAGACTCTGCACCATTGACCTGGCACCATCGACTGGGCCCCTACTCCAAGCCTGCCATCTTCACAGCCAGGCATCCATTTGATCTTCACATGCCCTTTGTTCAGGGGATGACGCCCCCAGGTCCAGAGAAGGGAGGTGACTCGCTCAAGGTCACAGACCAGAAGCCAGTCTCCAGCACCTCCCCCAATGTTAACCCCGGGAAGGTGCGGGATCACCAGTCTTCCCCTCCCTCTTGGGAACAAGTAGATTCACCCGATAGCACCAGGAAGAGCCCTGTGTCCTGGCCTCTGGGCCAGCTCCTGTCCAGGTCCCATGGCAGCCTAATCCCAGAGTGGGAGCCTTCCCTGGCTCCATGGGAGGGGGCCCTACCTTAAATACAAACATCTCGCCCCGGAAGAGGGCCACCGTGTTGAAGTTGCCATCACAGATGTTGGGTTTGGCGCCTGGTGTGGATGGCCGGTCGCCGAGGGGTGGCCGAGGGGGCCTGGGCTGGCGCTCATGCTTCCTCTCTGACGGGGAGTGGATCCTGCGCACGGGGAGTGTGGGGAGTGGCCTCGTGGGTCGGAAGAGGGCCACCGTGTTGAAGTTGCCATCACAGATGTTGGGTTTGGCGCCTGGTGTGGACGGCCGGTCGCCGAGGGGTGGCCGAGGGGGCCTGGGCTGGCGCTCATGCTTCCTTTCTGACGGGGAGTGGATCCTGCGCACGGGGAGTGTGGGGAGTGGCCTCGTGGGCTCCAGAGGCTCAGCTGGGGGTCCTGGAGAGAGGGGCTGCATCTTAGAGAGGGGCCAGCCGTTCCCTGCCTCCCCCCTGCCGTGGGCTCATCGTCACCCAGGCAGCTCCAGGACAAGACTGCCACGTTCCAGCCTCCCGTCCCCTCTCCCCAGTGGAACTCCCAATCTTTGAGAAAATAGATGAAAATAGCCATTAGGAGGGAACTCTCATCTTCCCTCTCCAAACATGGGACCCTCTCTTTTTTCTCTCCTGTTACAGAACAACGCATCCTTCGTTCGGGTGAGCGTCCAGCACCCTGCTTCTCTGCTCCCCTTCTCACATGCTGGCCCCACTTTCTCACCCCCTTCATTCTCTGTCCCACTCCAGTACCCACTCCACTGCTGTCGGGATCACCAGTGATTCCATGCTGCCAAATACCATGGTTACTTGACTCGATTTTTAATTTTTTTTAAAGATGACCGGTAAGGGGATCTTAACCCTTGGCTTGGTGTTGTCAGCACCACACTCTCCCAAGTGAGCCACGGGCTGGCCCTACTTGACTCAATTTTGATGAACACATGACTATTCTAGGGATCTTGATAAAGTGCAGATTATGATCCAGAGGGTCTGGGGTGGGACCTGAGATTCTGCATTTCTTCCAGCTCTCAGGTGATATTGATGTCCCTGGTCTGAAGCCCACTCTGAGTAACAAGATCATGGGAACACTTTCCTGAAACTCTCCTCTCTTCTCCAGGGCCCTGTACTCTTGGTTTTCCTCCTGCCTCATGGGCTATTCCTTCTCACCCTCCTTGCTGGCGGCCTTCCTCTGAAGGTTGGAGTGTCCCAGATCCTCCTCTCCGCTGTCTCTGCATTTTGTCCCCAGGTTAGTGGTTCTCAACTTGGTCTGAACATTAGGATCACCGGGGAACCTTTTACAACTCTGGGTGCTCCGGAGGTGCACCAGATCAACTCAAACCAAATCTCCAGGACTGAGGGCTGGGTATCAGTTCTTTTTATTGGAATCCCAGGGTGACCCCAATGGGCAGCCAAGATGAGAATCACTAATCCAGGTGGTCTTATCCAGGTTCATGACTTTAAAGACCTTCTACGTCAGAGCTGTCCAATAGGACATCCTGTGGTGATGGAAATGTTCTGTGTCTGTGCTGTTCGATATGCTAAGTAGCCTCTGACCACATCCACATGTGGCTATTGAGCACTTGAAATGAATGACTAGTTATCTTAGTGTGACTGAGGAACCAAAATTTTAATTTTATTTAATTTTAATTAATGTAAATTTCAATTTCAATAGCCACATGTGCTAGTGGTTACTGTATTGGATACCAGAGATCCCAAATCCATATCCCAGCCCAGATCTTTGAGCTGCAGACTGGTAAATCCTATTACCCTATGATTACAAAAGCCAGAAAACTGGGGTCATCCTTGACTTTCCTTCCTTCCCCTTACCCCCACATCTGACCTATTAATAGATCCTGTCCATTCTACCTTCGAAATACCTTCTAGCACCTGCTGCCACCACCTGGTCCTCTGCTGCTTCACCCGTGGTGGCCCTGCCAATCCTCCAGGGCTCCGGTTGGGGCACCTCCTCTAGAGTGCACCCCTCCCTGTGCCCCATAGCCTGGGAAATGTGGGGGTCTGTGCTGTGTCCATGAGCATTTGCTCAGGTAAACTGGTCTTCCCATCTCACCTGACTTGAGCAGAACCAGAATTTCACATATCAGAGTGAACTGAACTGGGAGAGAGGTATGGTAGGAGGCTTTTCAAAACACCTTATCCAGATTGCAGCCTCGCTTCTCATTTTTTCTTTAAGAACAAAGCTCTGGTTATAAAACTCATCACATTGTCTCACTGCTACTCCTGCTGATGTGTGACTCTACCTGGCTAGAGGTGGGACACGTGAGAGCACTCAATCACCATCTGGTGAAGGAGGAGGGGACAGGTGGTCCTCTCCTCACTTTTGCCCACACCTCCCCCCATCCTCCGTTACAGCTCAGACCCTCCCCTGGGTTTCCCAAGCGTGCCAGGGAGAAGCCTTGCCTTCTTGGGCCAAGCTAAGATGCCAGAAGTCTAAAGGTCGGAGCTGGTGGATGGCAGGCAATGCTCCCCACCCACTCCTGCCCCTGACAGGCAGGCATCCAGCCCAGCCCCACGAAGGAGCGGCCCCCTCTCCCTGGCCACACACCATAGATCTTCTGGATGCCCTGCAGATCGTCTTGGGGCAGCTTGAAGTTGTGCGTCTCCATGTACTGGTAGAAGGGCGCCATGATGGCACTGGGGTCGTTGGAGTGCTCCAGTCCCAGTGCGTGGCCCAGCTCGTGCACAGCCACCAGGAAGAGGTCGTTCCCTGTGGAGAGGGGTATGGGGAGGTGCCCAGGACACCCACTTAGATATCAGTCAGTCAATCCGTTACTTCAGCAAATGCTGAGCCTATGCCCCGTGCCTGGCCCTGTGCCGGACACTGGGACATATGGAGAAATCAGACACAGTCTCTGCTTTCCAGACCTCTCCATATGGTGGGGGATATGGAGAAAGAAACAACATTCGTGGATCAGAGCATTCCGGGTGCTTTACGGATGGCTATCGGGGTTGAGTGGGGATTCTGAGGAGGGAAGAGACATTTTAACTTGGAGGAAGATGTTCAGGGAAAGCTTCATAGAGGTGAAGTCTTGGAAGATAAGGAGTTAGTCAGGAGAACAGATTCAGAGGGTAGGAGGGGAAGGGAGGGCGGCATTCCTGGCAGAGGGGATGCTATAAACAAGGTCCGGGGACAAGCAGTTTCATTCTGCTTGGCTCCGAAACAAAGTGGAAGGGGAGGGCAGAGAGGGATGAGGTCAGGCAGGCTGGCACGCAGGGCGTGTGGCAGGAGGGGGTGGTGACACGATGAAGTCACCGGCTGCAGGTGGAGGAGGATTAGAGGGGCACGAGCCCTGAGGCAGGGGAATCAGTGGGATCAGTTTGGGAGCCAGTCCCAGGGTCCAGGTGAGAGATGAAAAGAGCCTGGGACAAGGTGGAGATAGTGGGGACAAGGAGAGAAAGCCCTGGGGGTGCAGACTGGCGGTCAGCTTCAGGAGACCCGGGGCAGGCAGGGCCCCGGCGTGGAGCAGATGCCTTTGTTTCCAGCTCTACCCCCAACCAGCTTTGTGAACGTGGCTGGTGGGTCTACCCGAGTCTCAGTGTCCTTCTGTGTAGAATGGGGGACTCATACCTACCTCATGGGGCTGTGAGGATTGAATAAGATGTACGTTAGGTGCGTGGCGTGCCACTGAATGGTTGCTGCCGTGTTATCCTACATAAGACAGAAGCTTGGTTACTAGAACAAGCCCATTGACCAGAAAGGAAGCGCAAGGCCAGTGGGGTTCCAGCAACCAAACCTCTTAAAGCCAGTTCCCCTGAGATTCTCTATGAGGCCTGGGACAGGACAAGCCCTGAATTTGGGGGGATTAAGTAACCCCGGCTTTGGGAAAGAAATGCAAAGGGCAAGAGTTGGGCAGGCCATTTTATTGACAATCCTGCCTCTGTCTGCCCAGTTTCAGACCCCTGCTCCCATGACCCCTGGCACTTGTATGTCCCTTGAGGCCTGCCTCTTATCTCCCTGTCCTAAGGCATGTCTCAGCCCATTCCCACCACCTCTAAGTCCAGGGAGGCTGCCAGGAGCCTAAGAGGTGGTCAGGAGTCCTACTGTCCACCCTGGCCCCAGCGCCACTGGCAAAGTTGCCCTATCCTGGCCTAGCTGAGGGCCCATGAGGGTTGAATGTGGGTGGGGATTGTTTGGCCTTCCTTCCTAAGGTCTTGGGAAGGGAGAAGAACCTCATGGGGTGGACCTGGGCCGCGGGAAGTGCATGCCTGCCACTCTGCTGACACCACCAGTGTCTTCAGCGCAGCCGCCTTTGAACAACAGAAAGGAAGGGGGATGGGCAAGATCAGTGCAAGGTTGGCCAAAAGCCTGGGGCTGGCCTTCTGCTGGGGAAGGGCAGGCTGGCATGAGATGGCCAGGCCACCCCGGCTCCTTCCTCAGGTCCTGGTCCCTGTGGCAGCAGGAAAGGGTGAGCTCATTTCTGAGCTTCATCCCAATCAAAGGCGGCTGCTGGAGCCAGCAGAAGGCAGCTCTGCTTCCTGGGGTCCAGTCCTGGCTCTACTCCGGTCCTGTTCCTTAACCTGGGACAAGCTATTCAGGGACTCTGTCTCTTGACCAGGCCCTTCCTGGAACCAGGGAGCAGGGCTCTGAGCACCTGGGGACACTCTAACCTCTGTCCTTGGTTTGTGTCTGCTACTCTCAACCTCTGTGCCTGGTCTTCAGAGAACAGGAGCAGCTCCTTAAAGGAAAGCGGCCCGTGGGCTTGGTCCAGGGACCAAAAAGAGAAGAAGATCTGGGGAGCAGGTGTCCTGTTGCACAGAACCCAAGAGACCTCTGAGGAGGAAATGGAAGGAGGGGTCAGGGGCAGGAGCACCCCTGAGCTGGTGAGGGGAGAGTAGAGGAATGGCCTGCACGGAGAAGCCCCCAGGCCATCTGCTCCCTGACAGAGTGTGAGGCAGGAGACAGACCGCCTGGCTTTGAATTTAGCTCTGCCATGTCCTCACAGTGGGACTTTCAAATCTCTTCCTCTGATAATGGTACCTTCATCATAAGGATGGGGTGAAGATTAATGAGGCAACGTGTATATATATATATATATATATATAATTTTTTTTTTTTGGCTGGTATGGGGATCTGAACCTGTGACCTTGGCATTGTAAGGCTGAGCTCTAACTACCTGAGCTAACCTCCCAGCCCGATGAGGTGAGGTACATAAAGCACTTATGCCAGCTCTGGCACAGAAGTGTTACTTTTCATTAGCAGGGCCATGTTGAGCTGTGTGAGGACCAGCAGCCCTGGTAGGGACTGTTCCCTTAAGTCCCTGGGCCTCCTAGCAAGTCCCCACAGTCTACTCGGATATTCCAGCAGCCCCATCTCTGCTTTTTTCCTTCTCTTAGGCCCTCCATATTTGGGGATTCCCATCTCACCGCCCCAGTCCCGCAAAGGTCACAGCACTGCATTTGCCTCTGTTCTTTTGCCAGTGCTGTGCCCTCTCCCCGGAATAACCTTATTCCTCCAAGCTCAGCTCCATGCCTATCTTCCAGGGCGCCTTCCTTGGTTTCCTCGCTCCTCTGTGCTCTCCCAGCGGTTTCTCTGAACCGTCTTCATGGCATTGACTGCGTTCCCCCCACATTATAGATACTAGTGCACACTAGTGCCTCGGGACTGTGGGCTCCCTGAGGGCAAGCGTACTGCTTGACAGGGCAAGGTGGCAGCACCGGGATGGAGCAGTGCCAGAGGCTCCGTCTTTTCCCACTTGCAGCAGAACCACCTGTGGTGACTATTAGAAATGTGGAGTCCTGGGTTCACACCTGGCTCTGCCACGTACTGACTGTGTGACTTTCTTAACTATGTGGTGGGACTTCACTGTCCCCATCTGTAAAATGGAGATTATGATCCCTGCCTCCTAGGGTGGGGAAGAGTCTGAAGTAAGTATGGAAGGCTCCCCACTGAGAAGCAGGGTGAGGTCACAACTAGACGCTTCCTGTGTATGCAGGAGCAGCACAGGGCTGGGCTCCCTCTAACTATGTGGTGGGACTTCACTGTCCCCATCTGTAAAATGGAGATTATGATCCCTGCCTCCCAGGGTGGGGAAGAGTCTGAAGTAAGTATGGAAGGCTCCCCACTGAGAAGCAGGGTGAGGTCACAACTAGACGCTTCCTGTGTATGCAAGAGCAGCACAGGGCTGGGCTCCCTCCCAGTGGAGCTTAGTGACTATCTGCTGACTTCACTGGTGGACTCATTTGAAAGAAATGAGGACAGAGGAGGCCTGACAGTAGCTCCAGAAACTGGCTGAAAGGCGTGGGGGGCTAGCTTGCCCCTTCACACAGACTCCAATGAGGTGGGGCATCAGAACCAGGGTTAGGATCCAGGGTTCTCCAGGGGAGCCTTCTACACAGACACAGACACAGACACACACAGACACACACACACACACACACACACACGCACGCACACACAGAGGAGGAGATTCTGATCAGGTTTGGGTTGGGATGTAGGCAACATTTTTTCTTAAGTTCTGCAGGTGAATTGTATAATGGTTGGGTGGTTGGGTCAGGCTAACACAACCTGAACCGGGTGCTTGACCCTAACATCACTAAAAAGTGGGTCACTCTGTGGCGTGTGGGCTTCCTGATGTGATGAAGCACCAGCACCACCTAGGAAATATTCTTGCCAAAACAGTGAGGCTGAATCTAGTCAGGCCTGTAGATCTAATTGCCAATATTTAGGAATTACGGGGAAGAAATACTTGTTAAACATGAACCTGAATTGAGTCAAGCTGAATGACTATCCTTGGGCCAAATGACCCAGTTTCTTCAACAAATACATGGGGGCGGGTGCATGTGTGTATGAGAAGGGGGGGGGATGTTTTACATTAAAAGGGCTTTAAAAGACATGCCAGCCATGTATGATGTGTGTATCTTACTTGGATCCTGATTCAAGCAAAGTGTAAAAGACATTTCTGAGGTAGTTTGGGAAAGTGAATGCAAACTGGGTATCAGATTTTAATAAATTATCATTAATTTTGTTGGGCTTGATAATGATTTTGTGGTCATGTTAAAAATAAGTCTTTAGAGGTATATACTAAAGTATTTACAGGTGAAATGATATTAAGCCTGAGACTTTCTATAAAATACATCAGCCAAAAAATAAAAGTTGGGGTGGGTAGATGATCTAGGAATGAAACAGTGCTGATAACTGCTGAAGTGGGTGGTGGGGACCTGCGGGATCATGTCGTCAACCTCCCTACTTTTGTGAGTTTGAAATTTTCCATAATGAAAGTTTAGAAAAAAGAAGAAAGCCAATAATCAAAGAGTTTCCGGGAGACTCCACTCCCTCCCCTGCTGAGTCTGTGTGGAAATTAAATAAGATAATATACAGGTGCCCAATAAATCTGGGCTCCTTTTCTCCCATTCCAAGACCTGTCCTAGGGCAATCTGCTGCATTCCAGTTCACCAGCCAGGGGTCTGTTGCTGCGGTTATGAGCTGCATCTGGACGGTTCATTCCTGGTTTTCCAGAGCAGAAAAATGTCCTGACTCTTGTCCAAAGAAGACATTAACCATCTTGGAATGTCTATCAGAATTGGCAGTCATTCACTGAAGATAGGGTGGAGCAGATGGGAGGGGTGCCAGGCAGGTCTCAGGTCCTTCTCACACACACCACCAGGTCTTGGAATTTGGGGGCTGGGCCCTACAGGTTCTCCAACAGCAAGGAGTGGGTGTGGGAAGTGAAAACCCCCAGAGCTGGGCAGAAGCGGAGGGCAGAGGAGCAGTGTCCTCCCGGTGCCTCGTTTGGATAACAGCCCTTTGAAAATTTATTTGGCTCTATCAGGGCTATAACTAAAATCTTATCAGCTAACAGTGCCTGGCACATAACGGGGCCTCAAAAATATTACTTCTCTTCTCCTCACACCTTATCAGTTAGCACAGACAGCCATTCGTTGACACTGATCTAAAAATAAGAATGAGATAAAGAATAGGTACTCAGAAAGCCGGGAAACATCCAGGATATGAGGGGAGAGATACCAGGCCAGAGGAAATGCAGCTTAATAGGAAAGAGGACAAAAATCCAAAGAGGGAAGAGGAAAAAGAGAAATTTAACAGTTTCAAAACTTTGCCTAGGCTGAGCCTTGGTCTAATCATCTCCTGAACCAACCTGATGGAGAAGCCAAGAGTTGCCAGTCCCTGATCCATGCAGTGATGAAGTGTTCCCAAGGAGGCAGTCGCCATCTACAGACTCCATCGTGGCCTCTGAGGAAATGGGCCTTGGAGAGTCTCCTCTCAGACTGATGCATCGCCAGGGGCAGGAAAAAAGAATGCCCAGTGTTTCCCAAACGGGCTTGAGTTTAAGAATCAGGATCTCTAGGGGCAAGGCCTGGGAATTCACGTGTATAACAAAAACCCAGTTGGTTCTCCTAATCAGACAAGTTAGGGAAACTCTGGGGATTAAGATAGTGTTTCTCAAGGTGATGGGACGCCTGCATCAGAGGCACCTGGTGAATTTGTTGGACTAAGTGCAGATTCCCAGGCCCTACCCCAGATCCAGAGAATCAGAATAGCAAGAGGTTAGGGGCATGGAGCCTGGAATCTGCATTCTTAAAAGTGTTTTCTAGGTGATTCTGGTGTGCCCTGCAGTTTGAGAACCATGGAGGCTTAGGGTGGTGGCTAAAAGTGTGGGCTCCAGGGTCATAATAACCAGGTTCAAAGCCTTATGTTACCATTCACCAACTGTGAGACCTTAGGTAGGTTACTTAATGTTTCTCTATACTCCAGTGTACCTATCTGTGAAATGGTGATAATAATTTCTACCTATGACATAATGTGTGGAAAGCACTTGGCATGGGCCTTAGGACATTAACATACCCACTAATTGTTATCTATTATAACTTAAAAGCCAGAATCCTCTGCCCTCTTTCCTCCAGACTCCATTGCATTTTCTTGGTACCTCTGCTGCAGCCTTCAGGAGGGTCTGCCTTGTGGCAGGTCACTTATGTACACATCCGTCTCCCCTTCTCTACTCTGGACTTCCAGAGGGTAAAGCCCATGATTTTCTTCTTTTTTTTTTTTAATGTTCAGATCCCCCTGATCTTTGCAGGACTTTGAGTCATGTTACTTTACAGTTGGAAGGGACCTTAGAGATTGCCTAATCCAGCCCTTCATTTTACAGATGAGGAGACAGAGGGTGAATGATTTGCCCCTCGATGCACAGTCAGGTAGTTGAACTAGGGTTAGTGCCTCACGGTGCTGCCACCTACCAGCTATGCCATTTGAGCCCTGAACTCTTCAATGTAAAAATGGGCATAATGGTGTACACTTGCCTACTTACCAAGCAAGTGCCTTGTGAGTCAACATTGACGAGGAACTCTTTGGCAACCTGAAGGGTACTGTTACTATTACTGCCCAGCATTGACTCTGGCCCCACAAATACTCATTGAACCATAGTGGTGCAGGGCAGGGCAAGTTATCCAAGGATGCTGGAGTAATTATGGGGCCTGCTGTTCACCTGTGAGGTTGACATAAGGGAGAGAGTCATGTCGTTCATAAGATGGCCTTTGGATCCATCATCCAGGCCAGAGCCTGCCACTTTCAGACCCCACTTTCAGCTTTCATGCCCTTTTACCTTTTTCTCCAGCTTCTAATCCATTACTTTACCTTCTTATTCATGGCCTAACCTCTCCTCCTGCCTCAGCCCAATTAGCATATCTCCTAAGTGATCTGACCACCTCCGTGGCCCTGGCCCTGGTGGGTCAAGTGTTGAATATTATCAGAGACCACAGTTTCCCCTTATTAGGTTCTAAATTCTTGGACAAGAAGCTTAGAAAGCAAGAAACTCATCTGTGGAATCCTCCGAGCTCTCCCTCAGTGCTTCTTTATCTAACAACTAAGCAAACCAGGACTGACCCCCCTATCCCCTCATGGCCTTACCATCATGATTGGCATTTCCTAGTGTCCATGGCTCATCTGAGTCAAAGTGAGTGTCTCCTCCAATCCCTGGACCAGGGAAGTAGGCATGGGCCAGGAATCCCCCTTCCCCATCAAATGGGGAGCTGTCGCCGTGGAAACCAGAAGCAAAGAAGATCATGATGTCTGCCTCCTTCCGGTCGCTTTTGATCTCATGGTATGGTACCTCTTCAAAGGTCAGTGGGGTCACCTTCTGCCACACATCAAAAGCCTGGCGAATAGCTTTCCGTGTGTCTAGCTCACCCACCTTTGGGGTATAGTTGTGAATGCTGGTGAGAGAGGGAGGATCATTAGGGAGGAACAGGGTCAGAGACTAGCAGAGCTAAAAGAGACATCGAGACAATATGGCTCAGTGATCTTCACATTTCGAACCCTAGAATTCTGCTGAGCTGCCCCAGGGAGCAGAGCTCTGGGTCCCCACCCCTGCCTCAGTCAGAGTAGATTTGCTTTAAAAATCAGCTTTCTATATTTGATCTCCAACAAAATTTGTGTTGAATAAAGGATTCCACTACAATTTGTAGAAAAAAAATAAGTATGTAGATGGCATTTTCTTTTTTTTCTTTTTTTTTTTTTGTCTTTTTTCGTGTCCAGCAACGGATCGCAACCCTCAGTGTCGCACCCGTACCGGACCGGGACTGGCAACGGGATCACAACCCTTGGTGTTGCGCCTGCACCTCGCTCAGCCAGTGAGCGGGAACCGGTCTGTATGTGGGATCCGAACCCTCGGCGGGAGCACCGCCACGCTCCCAAGAGGCGCACTGTAGCAGTGCGCCACCAGGCCGGCCCCGCATTTTCTAAATTTTAAGTTTTTCTCCCCAAAACTTAAAACTGTACAAAATAAAATATGTACACTTATAAAATTTGTAACAAATATTCCAACAGTGGAGAGCAGTTTAAGTGAAAAGCCTCTTTTAAAAATCTTTAGTACCAACCACTGCTTGTCAACCTAGAAGCTGGTACAGGGTGGTATCTGGGTTAATCCATTATAGATTTAGCTACTTAAAGTTACTGTAACCTTTTTGCATCGTTCTCCACAACGGAGCACCACTACTTATGGGTGCTCTCCCCGTGAGTACCTGGGGTACGGGTTCTACCCATTCCATGAGTAAGGAAACTGAGGCCCAGAGAAGTCATCGTTCTCCACAACGGAGCACCACTACTTATGGGTGCTCTCCCCGTGAGTACCTGGGGTATGGGTTCTACCCATTCCATGAGTAAGGAAACTGAGGCCCAGAGAAGCTGGGTGACAACTTAATATCAGAGATGGGTTGGAACCCAGTTCTTCTTTCTCTTGATCTACTCTACCTCTCAGGAGACCCAATAGTCTATTCAGTTTCTAACCCAGATTCTTCTTAAGTTCCCTTATCTTGTCAGATTTCTGAAAAAGTCCTGTTCTAGTCTCTACAGCTTATGAGCAGAAGAGCTCTTAGTTCAACTCTAAGAACCTCTGCCTTAGGTCCTGCCCCTGCACCCAGGGGATCCACCTGAGATGGAAGCAGAGCCTTGAGAGGTGTCAACCAATGCCCACCTGAGCATGCCCTATGCCAGGCCCTTGCCCCAGCCCCACTTCGAATTCTGGTGTCTGAGTTGGCTGGAATGGGCTCCATCATCTCTGCTCTTGGCCCACTGATCTGACTTGGAGACCGATCCTGCTTTGTCCTTGGTTTCACAAGACAGTCAAGGAACGACACTGTCATGATTCAGGTTCAGTTCCTTATATTCCCTAAGAAGCAACTAGAACTCTGTGTTGGGAATCTCAGGTGAAGTCTGTCAGGCTGCTCTGGGGTGGGGAGAGGATCCAGATCAGAGGAAGTGGGGTTTGGCAAACAACGATAGGGAGAATGAATTAAACCATGGTTCTTTATCACAGCTCAAAGTTACTGAACGATCCATACCCCACTTTCTGTAACTAAAAACTATAGGTATCTAAATGGAACAAAATTAATGAGCCCCCCGAAAGGACCAAATAAACCTGGAATTGGAGTCCTAGCATCCTGTGGAAGCCACAAGGATGTATGACAAAGTCACAGGCTCTCAGCACCTGGTCCTGATACCCATGTGCCTGCCCCTTGTCCTGATCCCGGGACCCACTTACAGTGTTAGCCTCTGAAACTCAGGACAGGAAGAAGAGAGTAAGGGTGGAGCCAAAGCCAGGGAGGAAGAGGGGGAGTCAAGCACCTGTAGGTGATGTGTTTTTGCCTCCATTTCTGTCCAGTCAGGGCATAGCGCTTGTTTCTCCGCCTGCGGCTCAAGTGAGGGTGATCAGGGACACCACATCGGGGTTTCTTCATCCACCTGGGCAGAGAGGGGACACACACACACACATACCATGCATGCTGTGGTCATTAAACACTCTAGGAAGGCATTGCATAGTCCCCAGTCCTAGTCTGAATGGCAACGTGCATCCTCCAATCTAAACTCTGGGACCCTGGCGCTGATGGATTCCAGCGGGAACATGATTGACTCATTGATCCATTAATTCATGCACTCACATATTGCTGTGTAAGAGAATGGGAATCAGAAGACACAGGCTTGATAGCTTCCGGTTCCATCACTAGGCAAATGACTGAACCAGTGTGAACCTCAGTTTCCTCATCTGCAACATGAGAATTATAGTTCTTGCTGTTCTTAGGTGGCAGTGAGTCTCAGAGGAGGGAGCATATGTGAAAATGCTCTGTAAATGCAATTAGATCACATCACTCCCAGTTAAAGGCCTCCAATAACTCCCCCAAACACCTAGAATAAAATCCAAACTCTTCACCCTGGTGCACGAAGTCCCACTGGTGACTGATCTAGCCCCTGCCTACCTGTCCAACAAGGTTGTTTCCCATCTCTTCCTTATACTCTGCTCCAGCCACAGGGACTTTCCTGCTGTTCTCTGAACATGCTAAGCCTGTTCCCACTCCAGGGTCTCTGTGTTTGCTGTTCCCTCTACTTGCAACACTCTTCCTCATGTGGTTTGTTCCCTTACTTCATTCGGTCTCTGCTCAAATGCCGCCCTTCAGAGATGACCTCCCTTTCCACCCTATTTAAAGTAGCCTCCCCCTCCCCATCCCACCGCTATCTGCTTATCTTGCTTAACTTTTCTTCATAACACTGATCACTCCCTGAAATTATATTACATATTTGCTTTCTCATTTATTCTTTGTCTCTCCCACCAGATTTTTTTTTTAAAGACTAGTCGAGTGCAGTAGTGAGAAGGGAAGAAAAGTAGGAGTCTGATCTGTAACTGACTGTGAGTAATCAGTTGAGACAACTTGCTACCTTTTGACCAGCCTCTCCCACCAGATTCTAAGCTCCGTGAGGACAGGAACCTTGCCTGCATCCCCAGGGCTGGCACGGCACCTGACACAGAAGGGATTCAATAACGATTTGTTGACTGACTGATGAATCAGAACTACCTATCAGCAGAAGGGCACAGCATGCAAGACAAATCCCGTTTCACTGTTGGTGTTCGAGCAGTGGGTCGACAACTGTAGGACTTGGAACATTATTCTCTGCAGCACTTATTCTATTGCATGGTGGTTTTAAATCTATTAGTCTGCTGCCTCTAATAAATGGTAAATTCTTTGAGGACAGGAACTATATCATATTCATCATTGTGTCTCCAGAAGCTGGCCCAGAGCCTGGAACTAAGACCTGATAGCTGTTTGTTATCATGTAAAGTCATATCAGAGAACAGTAAATCTGGGTCATCGTGGGGAATTTCAACAAAGGTGCTGGCTGGCCGGTTGGCTCAGTTGGTTAGAGCATGGTATTATAACACCAACGTCAAAG